GGACTCCAGGATCATGACCTGGGCCGAAGGCAGTCGCTTAACCAACTGAGCCACCCAGGCGCCCCTCCTTCCCACTTTCTTGAAGGGGAAACTGAGGCAAAGAGAGTTTAAGTAACTCAGGCAAGATTACATGGTGGGTGGTGGAGTAGGGCTTCAATTCTGCTTACTTGGGCTTTGGAGATCATGCTCTTAGCATCTCAGCAAAGTTGCCTTTCATAGGGAAGTGTTGAAAAAGTATGCTCTCCGTGGACTAGGTACTACTTGCCTAAATATTCATTCATTTATTATATCATGCCATTCAGTCTGTTGATAATGAACTGAACACCTAATATTTCTATGGAGGTTTCTACCATATACACCCCTTGATTAAAAGAAACAAACAAAAACTATGGCATAGATCCATTCAAGTGAAAACATACAATGATTGCTCATAATTGTCTACATGGATGTGGGTGCCAAATAGGAATTACTAGAGTAGCCTCCAAATCAGCAAAAAGCAGGGATTTCTTTCCCCAGCATGGCTATCTCCTAAGCATTTTGCAAGGTTCCTATAAGCTAAATACACATTTCCTAATGAACGAAACAATGCCAATTTGGAACATTCTAAGAATGAAAGGCCTTGGTGAATGTAGTTAACATATATGTTGAGCTAGAATAGAGGACTAGTTATAGACTGCACGTTTGTGCCCCCACCCCACCCCAGTTGCATATGTTGAAGCCCTAACCCCCAGTGTAATGGTGGTGTTGATATGGCCATTGAAGGGTAATTAGGTTTTGATGAGGTCAGGAGAGTGGTCTCTATGATACAAGTGTCTTTATAAAAAGAGAAAGAGGAAACAGCTTCTGCTCTCTGCTGTGTGAGGATACTGACAAGGTGGCTGTCCCCGAGCCAGGAGGAGGACCCTCACTGGGAGCCTAATTGATCCGCACTTAGATCTTAGACTTCCCAGCCTCCCAAACTGTGAAAAACAAATGTCTATTGTTTAAGCCCCCCGGTCTACGGTGTTCTGTTATGGCAGCCCAAGCAGACTAAGACGCAACACATGGACCTGAGAGAGTCATTGCTCTGCAAGGACAGAAATGTATTGGCGTCATCACGAGGTGAAACCAGAGAACAAAACCAAATATATTAGTTTCTTGTGGCTGCCCTACCAGATGACCACAAACTGGGTGGCTGAGAATGAAAGAATTTGTTCTCACAGTTCTGGAGGCCAGAAGTCCACATTCACAGTGTTGGCAGGGCCGCACTCCCTCTGGAGTCTCTAGGGGAGAATCCATCTTTTGCCTCTTCCAGTTTTTGGTGGTTGTTGGCACTCCTTGACTTGCAGCTGACTCACTCTGATCTCTGTCTGTGGTCACATTGCCTCCTTCCCTCTCTCTATGTCTTCTCCTTTGTGTCTGACTCAAATCTCTCCCTTTCTCTTTTAAGGGCACTGGTAATCTGTTTTAAGACTACCCAGGTAACCCCAGTGATCTCCTCATCTCAAGATCCTTAACTCGATTACACCTGCAAAAACCTTTTTTTCCAAATAAGATTACATTCACAGGTTCCTAGAATTAGGATGTGGGCATCTCTTTGGCTTTGGGGGAGGGGTGGGCACCATTCAACCCACTACAACAAGTAAAAACAAGATCAGCCAAAGGGGATGGTCTCTGGGGAAGTTCTTCTGGTGAAGTTGCTGGCATTACAAACTTCTCCTTCACCTTAACCACAAATCCAGAAAAAGTGTTAACTGTGAAGGAATGTTTGTTAGATTATGAATGCACATGAAATAGCATTGAAATGAGTACACCTGGTTTGCCGGAATCAGTAAGTCGTTAAATTGCAACATTATGTGAATTACAGTTAGAATAACTCTCCCTGCTTAGTCTTACAGTAAACCCATGCAAAGTGTTGGTGAAGGAAGATAAATTAAATATGGCTGCTGCCCCTGATTAATATGTTAAATGGGAATGTGGTGTTAGATTAACTCAGGGGGAATGCTCTGAAGGTTTGACATTTTACATTTGATATTCCTGTCTGTTAAAGTATTTCTTGTTCTTCAGCTTGTGAGTTCCTTGTCTTTCTTAGTTCTGTATCATCAGTGTCTATCATAGACCTGAAAGTATTCAGTGTTGTGCATTTAAAGGCCAGTTTGTTGTGTGAATGAAAGAATGTTTGCCACAACAGTGTGCTCCTCGGGAATCACTAGTGGCTAATCCGTCAACTCAGAACAGAACTCAGAGCCTGGGTGGCTCAGTTGGTTGAACGTCTGATTGTTGATTTCAGCTCAAGTCATGATCTAGGGGTCGTGGGATTGAGCTCCACATCAGGCTCTGTGCTCAGTGTGGAGTCTGCTTATCCCTCTCCCTCTGCTCCTCCCCCCTCTCTCTTTCTCTCTCTCAAATAAATAAAAATCTTTAAAAAAGGAACACAACTCAGAATAAAATATTTCATTTAAAAAGTCTCCCGACATCTAAGTTAGATGCTATATTTGAATGTTCTTATTTGCCTAATTGCCCATGACTAGGCAAGCTCCCCAACTTCTATTAATTCACAGTTATTTTTTTTTTAATTTTCAGGTTAAATAGGGAATTATTTTTCAACTTTATTGGCAAATAAACTTTTAAGACATTTAAAGTGTACGTTGTGATGATTTGATGTAAGTATATATAGTGAAAGGCTTTCCCTTATCTAGTTAATTAATAAATCCATCACCGTGTGTGTGTGTGTGTGTGTAGAGAGAGAGATTGACATTTAAGTCCTGCTCTCTTAGCAAATATCAATTACACAATACAGTATTATCAACTACAGTCACCATATTATACATTAGAGCCTCGGATCTTAGTTACCTTACAGCTAAAATTTGTACCAATTTACCAACCTCTCCGTATTCCCCACCCACCCCCAGCCCATGGTAACCACTTTTCTACTCTCTGTTTTATGAGTTTGACTTTCTTTTTTTTTAAGACTTTACATGTAAGTGATACCATGCAGGATTTGTCTTTTTCCGACTTATTTCACTTAGTGTAATGCCTTTGGGACCCATCCATGTCATTACCAACAGCAGGATTCCCTTTTTTCTCAAGGCTGAATAATATTCTATATAGTCCACATTTCACATATATCTCATATATATTGCATACATCATATATGTATATATACACACATATCTATCATCTATCTATCATCTATCATCATCTATCATCTATCTATCATCTATCTATCTATCTATCTATCTATCTATCTATCTATTTATCTATCTATAATCTATCACATCTTCTTTATCCACCAATTTGTTGATGGACATTTAAGGTGTTTTCACATCTTGGTTATTATAAATAATGCTGCAATGAACATGAGAGTGTAGATATCTCTTTGATATCCTGTTTTCATTTCCTTTGGATATGTGGCCAGAAGTGATATTACTGGTAATAGCTATGGTAATTCTATCTTTAATTTTTTGAGGAACCACCATACTATTTTCCATAATGGCTGTACCAACTCACACTTCTGCCAACAGTGCACAAAGTTCCCTTTCTCCACATCCTCAATACACTTGTTATTCGTTGTCTTGTTGCTAACAGCCATTCTAGAAGGTCTGATTATATCTTCATTGTGGTTTTGATTTGCATTATCCCAATGATTAGTTATGTTGAGCATTTTTTCATGTACTTGTTAGCCATTTGTATGTCTTCTAGTTATTCTAGAAGTATTCTAGAATTCTAGTATTCTACTTAGTCCATGTTTGCATGTAATTCTAATAATTCTGATTTAAGTTTAAGAAAGCAAAGTAGAAATGGACACATGGAGAACAATACAAAATAACAGATATAAGCTTTACAGAAAATGATTAGAATGAGGATTTATACTCTGCATAATGTCCACTAAAGATTTGGTTGCTTCACGAGTGCCACATTTGGATAACAAATTTTATTTACTTATTATCTGTGTGTCTGATTACTTAATAAACTCCTATTAAAGTTTGACAGATGGACCCTGAAAAGTACATTCTGGCTGACCACTGGTAACACAAATGTATTGTTTTTCATCCAAAAGAATGTGAGGGTTATAACCAATGTCATATATATCCATCAGTAATGGCAGCTCACATTTACCAAACACATGGTGCTTTATGAAATCATTTCATATATGAGTCTCACAGGAGTCATGTCTTAAGTGAATCAGATGTGACTGCCTCCATTATACAGATGAGGAAGTTGAGAGTCAGGGAAAGTAAGTGATTGTCACACAACTGGGGAATGGTTGAGATGGATTCTAACTCGGGGGTGTGATGCAACACCCACCCTTCTGTTACTCACCCTTTATATACTCACTGTATTTTGATCTTCCACATCACCTCTGGTGTGTACCACAGGATTTTCCTTCCTCCATCACTGCAGGTACTGAGATGGCTTTGCTCCCCATCTGAACCCCAAACACAATCTTGTTCTCTGGTCATCTACTGCCCCATCCATTTCTGTGTTCCTCTCTCTTGCAACACCCCTTCATTTCTTTTTACTTTGGACAATTTGCATTCCCTCTTCTCAGAGACATACTCCTTTTTTTCTGATCAAGGCAGCTCGTATGTTGCACAGCAACATGCTCCTGTATGTTGTGGAGCAAAGACACTGAGGTGACAAAGTAAGGACAGAGCATTGAAGAGCTGAAGAACCACGGTTCCAGAAACAGTGTTGTTTGTGTTATCTCAGTTTGGGGACAGACATATTTGGGAAATTGTAAACACATAGAATTTAAAGTCAGAAAGCTCAGATTCCAGATCTGACTCTCTCAACTGCTGTCTCTGTTTTTGTGGACAAGCCCCTTTGACTTTCAGAGCCTTGAACTCTCATTTATAGAATGATGATACTATCAACATATGCAGCTTTTGAGATGGCGTAAGTGAAAATATCAAAATATTGTAAGATTGCGAAGGCATGTCAGCCATTTCTCTATATATTCCAAGCACCACTTTGGGTTAATAAATCCTGTTTCTGATCATAATTTTGTCTTGTAGCAGAGTCTGCTTTGACAAGATGACAAGCCATCTGTACATGATGATGAGCTGTATATCTCCAGGTAATGCAGGCTTCCATCAGCCATGGTATAAGAATCTAAACCAGATAAACATACCAGAGGGTGGTACTAGCCTCTATATCTTTCTGTCCTGTTCTTTCTACCTTTAATTGCTTAGTTCCTGCATAGCCACAGTTGCTTTTGAAGGGAAGATGTCACTAAGGCTCTCATGTGGTTTACTTCTGGGCTTCCAGAAAGGACATCCATTCCCTTTGCTTTTTCTTTTTTATCGTTTTACTTAAATTCAAACTAGTTAACATACAGTGTATTGATTTCGGTGTAGAATTTAGTGATTCATAAGTTGCATATAACACCCAGTGCTCATTACATCGTGTGCCCTCCTGAATGCCCATCACCCAGTTACCCCATCCCCCCACCCACCTCCCCTCCTGCAACCCTCAATTTGTTCCCTAGAGTTAAGAGTCTCTTATGGTTTGCTTCCCTTCTGTTTTTATCTTATTTTATTTTTTCCTTCCTTTCCCCTATGTTCATCAATTTTGTTTCTTAAATTCCACATCCGAGTGAAATCTCCCTTTGCTTTTTCAAGACAGTTGATTGACTTGGGTCCTAACAATCATCCCCTAGTTTATGTTGTTTATAAATTTCTGCTATTTATTTTGTATATTGGTTCACATCTACTCTACCTACATTTTTTTTTTACTCTACTTACTTTATGAAATAGATTTTGAGGCAACCTATATATACTTTTGGGGAAACAGAAGCAAAACAATTTCTAATGCGAACCACGTCTGGGTATGATGCTATTATAACCCCAGCTTATTAATCTTCGGGACATAAAACAAAACCTGCCTTATTAATTGCCCTGCCAAGATGAAGAGGCAGTATGAAATATGCTGTATTATGTTGCCATCAGTTTGACTAAATATTTTAATGAATGACTTTATTGTGTTTTGTACCCTGAGGCTTTTTAAATTTAAGGCCATATTAAAAAAAATAAAAAGAAAGAAAAGTCATTTCGTGAGTCTGATTACCTGCCCATGGGTGGTTGAAGTTAACCATCACAAAGGTCACCATTACTGGGAAAGTTGGGATCACTCCTGGCTTGAGCACAGCCAGCCTGTGTCCTAGGGCTAATTGGCAATTCCGGGACCATCCCACTGCTCATTCTTTCAGAGAAATTTTTTATATACAATTGCATCAAAGACCCTTTTGCTTTTGAGGATCTTTGAGAGCTTTCAAAAGACTAACATTCTCTATCATAGTGACTCTTCTTCCTTCCCTCCTCTCCTCTCCTCTCTCCTTCCTTCCCTCCCTCCCTCTCTTCCTCCCTCCCTCTTTCCTTATTTCCTTCCTTCCAGAAGAATAAGTAATTGACAAGCACTGTGCCCACTATCTAGTATTTCTACTCTGTTTAGGATAACCAGACCTTATATTACTAATTTTCTGAAAGGACAGAAATAAATTCAGGAAGCAATTTTACCTATATGACAACAGAAGAATTTTTCTGGGTGGGGGGGTTGGATAGTGTACAATAAACAACAACATGGTAAACACTTGAGTGAATTCAGTCAATGCCAATATTACAGTGGAGTTTGAAAATGACAGATTCAGGAGCAAATCTGAGCTGAAGACATATTTTATTTGAGTTTTATGGGGTTTTAAAAATTTGAACTAGAACTTTGAAATTTAGAGATTAAATGTTCAGATCAAATATTTCAGCTTCTTACGAAAATACTAGAGAAGATAGTACTCAGCCTACATTCTGGAATGGCTAAAATTATCTCTCCTCTCCAAATTTGACTATAGTCTGTGACACTCATGTCACATAGGCATAAGATCTTAGTCATGGTCACTTTGCTTATCAATGATATATGCAATGATGTATGTTTTCATTGCTGGTATTTTTTTTTTTTTGTAAGGCACTCATAACATGGGATCATAGGTAACATAATGCCTACAGAAAGGAAGGTCTGTTCCCATTATAAGTGAGTCTTTTGTATTTAACTATAAGAAAGCATAAGGCAGAAATTTCTTTTCCCAGTACTTGGTACAATTGACCAGCTTACCATCATATTAACTGAACAGGGTTGCTGGATTTTTGAAAACCAAAACTGATCTCATAATCAGTGGTCTTCTTTGGTTTTCTTTAGTAGTGCTTAGAGCATAATTTATAACTTAAACTGTGGTGTCCATTTTCTGGTGGTTTATCCCTTACATCTAGTAGAAGTGTTCCTTTGTAAGCTCACTGACTCTAACATTAGTGAATGTTCATTGTGAAACCTCAAAGAGTATCTAGAGCCTTAACCTGACATCACCAAGTACTTTATTACTAGGTTATATACACTGGCTGCCAAATCAAACCCCAGGAAACCATAATGTCTTTAGATGATTGGATGGGTGGGCTTCTGGCCATGTAGGACATATTATATATTAGAGTATATTATATATTCTTTATATAAGTGCGTTCCCAGTCATTTTACATTAGTCAGTGGGGTTTTTTTTTGTTGTTCTCTTTAGATCCTCAGTGGTCCTAACATACCTCATCCATAGTTTCTTCCAATTAATTTTCCTGCAGTATTTCCTTAATAATCCCAGGCTACCATGATGCTTATGGAACCCTTAATAATTCCCAATTCCATCAGTCTTGAATTTCCTAATGATCTCTACATTCTTTTGTTTTTGATTGTCATTTATTTTATTTAATACTCTGATCTTAAGTGTCTTGTGGAATGAGGTTTGTGTTTAAACTTAGCAAGGTT